TTGTCAAGCACTGCCTTTTATTTTTTTTCAGTAAAAGCTTTTCCTTAAAACAGAGCATACAGAGAGCTATGCCTTAGGCTCTGGGAAATCGTGGGGCCTTTAAAAAGTAATTTTTCTATGTTTCCCCACGCATCTACATCCACTCCCTTTTGGGTTTGTATTAATCAACAGCAGAAAAGTGCTTCACACAGTTTAGAAGCTACTGTATTTAGAATGGAAACCCACACAGAATGCCGCATGAGATCTATTTTAGAATATTGAACCTGCAAACATATGTGTTTTGTAAAATAATTAGGAAAAAGTAGTACAAAATTACATTATAATTTATCCTAACCGAAACCAATGTGTAAACTAAAAGCTGTTTATTTTAGAAATGCTTTGGTGGTTCCATTAGAGATGAGAGTATAGCTTGTGTCATCAGTTTTTCCAAGTGTGTGCATGGGGCAGTGTAGCTACTATGGAGAGAAAAAACAGGTTGTATTTTTGATTCCTGAAGAGCAGGGGACAAAAATCCTCCATTTTAACATAAGAGGCATAATATGCCTTATGGCTTCCAGAAAAACGATATTAAGAGTGTGGTCAGCTGTTTGGCATTGCAAGTAAGGTTTTTCTGAACATCCACTTTCTCTTTCTTAAACCACAGCTCAATGATGACTGTAAAGATTAGGATGTGGGGCTCCCCCTCCCTGGTTTTTTGCCTTTGGTTATTTTATCCTGGCTTATGGAAAGAAGTGTGGACAGAAACTACTGCTCCCGTGGCAAGGAGTCTTGCCCATGGGCACAGATTTAAAGGCAAAGATGGAACTGCTCAGTAGAGTGCTTGTTGCCTAATTGGTATGCATGTGGTGCAGGAACCAGAAAATGGTACTTTTTTTTTTTTCCTCTCCACTTCATGCTGGCAACTCTGTCTCTTCTCTCTGACAGTTTAGGGTGTCCCCCACCCCTTTCTCCTACTCTACAGAAAGTAATTCTTATTTTTAATTCCAGGAAAGTTGGAGTTATGTTACAGGTTCCAAGTTCAACTGTGGTTTTAAATAGTACTGACAATTGGAAAAGTTTCCTTAATTGTAGAGATCTGAGTAGCTTCTATTTTCTATTTGGAGTAGCAGTCTGTTGGCACAGATTTCCCCAGTCTTTCAAACTCCATCCTCACGCATTTATTTATCTTGTCACCTCCCTTTTTTTTATATTTTGTGGAGAGGGAGGAGCAGGAAGTTATTGTATTGCAGATAATCTTCCAGTTTTTTCTTGGTAGCCCTTCAGAAAAAAATGATTTCAACTCTACACATAAGTAAAAATAAATCTTTTTTTATCACCTTTTTGATGTAGCTATCAAATTGAATGAGAGTATCTTCTGAATCAGGGAAGTATTACAGGTAATCTGAACTCAGTCTTTTCAACCTGTGAGTTGACTTGGTGGATAGTATCATGGCCTGTAAGGAGGATGTATGCATTGTGAATGATGCCTTTTGAAGATGGACTTATGTTCACTGTTGTGCCTGATTCAGCTCATGAGAGGAGTATTGTGATGCTTAATACTTGGGATTGAACCTTAAATATGGAAATGTGTTTCCTTATTCTTCTTTTGAGCAAGAAATGCTTGAGTGGCATGAATTACCTTGTTTTTAGAGGTCTTTGGACAGCATGTGTGTTCTGTTTGTTGTTAAATTGCTTTATACTTTTCATTATACTTTATACTAATCATTTCTTAAATAGTTTTGATAGGGTGCTTATATTCTTGTGCAAGAACAGAAATTCTTCTACTTCTAAAGTGTGTTCTGTTCCCGAACAGTTCCTCATGAAGCATATTGCTTTTTGAGCATCTAAAAAGGATCATATGGCTTTGAAAGGTTACCTGTCTGAATTTTCTTTATTTTCTTCAAAATTTGGGTGATTTGTTACATTTGTTTGTTAAATTACAGTAAAAATAGCTATTTTGTTTTTATTAGTTTGGATAGAGTGACATTATTATAAGATCATGAAAAATGCTTTTGGTTTTGAGATTGGAAACGAAGTTTGCTGATCAAATACAGAATCACTATGTCTTTTTCTTCTTTCTTCTAAAACATTTGTGGATGTTTTCTTCCTCATTTTCTGAGACTGAGGACACTGTTCTCTGAACTTGCTAATGGGATCAAATCAACTTAATATAGAACATGGCATGTGATGATAAAGTTGATTGCTTACACCCGGCTTTGATTGGAGCAAGCTTAGTGGTCATTTGGAGTATACTGAATGCAAATGTAGCTTATATTGTTCCATCTTGGCTGCTTCTCAAGTTCAGCTTTGTACAATGCAGCCCTTGTGCTATCGTAAAGTCTTTGAACTGACATCTCCTCCTGTATTTATCTGCTATGTAAGCACTTGATTTTTTTAGGATTTTAGCCAAATAATTTTTTAAAAGTCAAGAAAATTGGCATATTTAACACTGTTCATTTGTTACTGTGTTACGCTCACAGAACAACTTTAATTTTCACAATTTCATTCACTAAATTACAGCGGTCCCCAGTTTATCCCAGTGGTTCTGCTGTTGGCCCCCAAAGAGAGTTTAAATCTCCTACCAAAGCCTTTTGTGTGCATCTGAAATGCCATATTCAGTCAGTAACCCAAAACTGAATATATTTTTTTATTTCAGAGTTATGCATGGTCTCACTTTTTCTCCTCTTCTCCCCTGCCCCAAATGAAAAACAGGAGACCTGAGGACTAAAGATCTTAGATTTAATTTGCTGCATCCTTGCTTAACTACCACCACAATTTCCGGGCATGGTAGCAAGAGTTGGAAGTCCTTTCTTCCACTACTGATTCTTCTGTTATCGCTTGGTGATGGTCTTGTAAATATGCTAGTACACTGTTCCTTTTGATACAGTAATTCAGGAAGGAGGTAAGGTAAAAGAGAATATTAAATTAAAATTAAAAAAAGATATTTCTGAGGTGTTACATCTTGCCATGGAGTTACGAGTAAGAAGCATATACAGAAGTCTCTGTGCCTTTATAAGCAGAAACTTTATTCTGAAACACTTCAAACTCCACAAGCAGTAGAGATCTAGTCCATGAAAGATGTGTGTGAATAAATACAAGAGTGTAGACCCATGTAATGACTAAAATACAAGTCTTCTACTTTGCAGTAGTAATCACTAATGTGCATTTATTAGCATTAGATCTTTTTGTGGTAATTATTGATCGCCTTTTAACTACAAGGCAAATAGTCAAGATTTTCTCAAAGTAATGTTACTCAAGAAAATTAAGATTTAAATTCATCGTTTGACTGCAAAATTTAAAAAATTGGCTTCACATTGTCTCTTTAAATGCTCTTTCACCATAATTCATTGTCAGCTGAAATCCATACATTATGAGGCTAAATACTGTGTTCTGCACAACTGATTATTATGCCTTTTTTCTTTTCAGCTTCAGATAAAAATCATTGCTTCTATGCAAATCCTTGAAAAATAAAATCAGTTGTTAACTGTTCTGAATATTTAACTGTGGATGGCTTGTATGTTGTGAATTGTTGGTTCAGGAACTGTAGAAGGGTTCCCCTTGTCTGCCCTGCTGATGGCCTGATTTCAGTTGTCATGGCTGAGTCTGCACTGCTCACTTGGACTACATTTGTGCTGTTGACTTTGGGGAATTCTGTAGGTTCAAATTTGTGTTGAGAAGCTCTTGAATCAATGCTGTATTGCTCAGAATGCCAGTTTTAAGTTGATGGTTCCCTACGCCTATATAACTTTTTGCCTTGGATGTGTGTACAAATAGCAGTAAAAAAAAAACCAACCACAGCACAAAATAGCTTTTCTTCTCCCTCCCCCTCTTAAAAAATTGTCTAGTTTATGGTAACTGAACTAGGTGCTGGCTAAGTGCACAGTTACCATTAGAAATATAGTAACAATTAATCTTTTGGATCTCTTGATCTTCTATTTCCTTAATTATCATTGAGTATTTGTCCAAAAAATATTTTGCTGCAGCTGTAGGGCTTCTATGTGAGGCTTCTTTCTGTTAGCCATGTAGTGGATTATGGATACATGAAATAAAGGCTGTCAGCAAAGTGAAAAGTAGGGAGGAGATGGAGGAAATATTGAAATTGCTTGGTTTTCATGTTATTTTAGCTATTCTTTCTCAGTAGTTTCATCAGCTCAGAGGATGCTCTGAGACTTGACCTTTAATTATTTTATATTTAGTAGATAGACACGCTGCTTTAAAAATAAGTAGTTTGGTATGCATATACCTATGTATCATATATAACACTATCAGTACTCCTAGGAATGTAATTTGAGGAGAAAAATATTTATCTGTACTTTGTCCTATCCCATAATGCTGAGAGTAAATGTCTGGGTTGAAATGAAATGACTTGCATTGACTGCTGTGGATGGTGCCTGGGAAAGGGATCAGTGTAAATACTGGCATTAGCAGAAGGATAGACTGATGATACCTACCTGCTTCATAGAGCAAGGAACTAGATTTGGTTATCAGTTTAGGTTCCTATTATGTACGAAGGGTATTTTTTGTAAGTTGAGAACAGTATTTTGCTGCCTTGCATCTGACAAAGAAGTTTCCATTTGCTGTGATGCTTTCTTAGAATTTTTAAAAAATATAAATCATTTGGGCACTGTTTTGACTGGTGGGCTTCAGCAGGGTGGGGATGAGTAGCATAATACTTTTCAGGCTTGAACTTGGGCTTTTTGCCAAGATGCATAAAAAATTTGGTGCATGTTTTATTATTTGAATTGTGGTATGCCTTTTGTGCAACTGGCAAAAAACTCTTAACCAACTTTCTTTCAAGCATTTAAGTGTACTAAACAGTGGTAAATGGACATTGCTGTATTAAGAAAGATACTGAAGAACAATGTGCAGTTATTTTGTGACAGTTTGTATCTATTAGCAAATGGGACCAGAAGCATATCGCACAGTAATCTACAAGTAGAAATGAACCAACACCATTTGGAGTAAATGTAGATGCTGTTTGTCTAGCACCACTACCAGTAACACCTTTTTTTTTTCTTTAGGTTCTTGATTGTTACAGACCATTTGCTGAAATGTCCAGAGTTGGTAAAAACCCTCTATGCCAAACTGAGCAATCAAGAAAGGTAACCCCAAAAACCAATGTGGCTTTTAGTATTTAGCATTCCATATAGAGTATCCTGTTCACATGGTTGAAAAACTGTGTGGTTTCATAGTTGGCACAAAATCTCTAAATACATGTTTCTATGTCAGTAATGGTTTTAAATTGGTTGGTTAACATTACAGCTTAGCCACAACTGGCAGTGATTTATGTAGGGTTGCAGAATCCAGGTTGGCGCCATTACTTGGTAAAGAAATACTTAAAAAAAACCCAGAGACGACAAAATTTCATGCCTGTGTCTTGATTTCATAAAAGCACCACACCCTGTAGTGTTTTACAGCTCTATTTCAGATGTTCAGCTGCTCATACTCCTGTTGTAATTACAAGCAATTAAAAGGAAGCCCTTACTAAAATTGGAAGTGTCTCTAATACTGGTTAGCAGAACCTAAAAACCATATGTGCCGATGCCCATGATTACTTAATCTTTTAATATTTCCAGTGGTGAAAATATAAATGCTTCAACAAACCTTCATTTTGAAAGAAAGTAGCTAATTTTCCTTCAAGTGTTTGCGTGAATATATGCTGAATTGTTGGGAAATGGCCATTGCTGTAACTGGGAAAATGCTCATTTACTGTTGCTTTAATAAAGAACCGGGGAAGATAAAAAATTATTTTGTTAGAATAATCAACTTTGGGAAATCCTGTACTACAATTCTACAGCTTTTCCAGTTGATTGAAGATCTTGTGGTCTTGTTTATGTATTCAACATGATTACTTTGTTTGCCATTCCCCCAAGGAAACTGCAAGTTCCCCCTGTAGTTTTTGCAGGTGAAAGACAAAGCAGTAAACAAAGCAGTCCCTGAATGTTTGGGGTTTTTTTCCCTGTGCTTTTTTTGCTGTGACTAAAGCCACAGTGTTATTACAAATAAGGATACAGACACTGATCAGAGATTATGAAGAAACAAAAGGGATGGTAGACAAAGAGAGTATATGGTAGATTGAGAACCATAGATAAAAGTATCATTAATATGTAGGTATGGGGATGTAAAACAAGGGATGGAATGATAAGGAGAGAAATAGTGTCTTCTTCCTTTATTCAGGCTGACCAAATGGGAACAAAAATGAGCTGTGTACTTACTGGGCCTTAACCCATTATCGGGAAAGAGAGTTTTAAGTGAATGAGCTCGATTTAGTTATTTTGGGGGAAGTAATGAATGGCAGTTTTTGTATTGTTGTTGTAATCTGGTTGCGGACAGCTGGGACTGGGTGAGGGTGTTCAGTTGTACTTAAAGTAGTAGATGTAATCAGTTTCTAGAAAGGTTTCAGATGGATTTGTTGCATGCTCTGTGCTGCAGATGGTGATTGGCCACCTCAAGTGAAGAGCTATTGGTGTAGACGTGATATGAGGGATGGCTAGTTCACTTGTTGTAGGCAAGTTCACTTGGATCTATTATCAATCTCGAGAGTTCTGCAAATCAAGTATACTCAATTAAGTTTTTCAAAAACATAATCACACTACAGTTTATTATGAATTTGATACTGTTTAATTTGCTGTCAAACATATGGAGGTAAGTGGTGCAGAAAGTTCTTTTGCAAATGAGCTATAGAAGAAAGTGCTGCCGTGGAATCTTCCTGCATAATGTTAGCATATTTATAAATGCATTTTTTGAGATACATGAGGAGACAAATCCAATTCAGATAAAAACATTATGGCTGTCATTAACTTGAGAAAAAAGTAACCGTATAAACCAAAGCATAGGGAGTTCATTGTTTCAAAACGAGACAAGGAGCCTTCACCGCAAGAGTTGCCGCACTGGGTGTCCAATAAGGCTGACTAAGTCATATAAATGAAGAAAGGACAGATGTGGTATTGAGGTGTCTGGGGAAAGCAGCTTAAGCTCATGAATATATGGTAACTTTCAGTTACAGTATTCTCTATCATGCACATTAAATACACCTACTTTAAATGTATTAACTGAAACAAAATTAACTATGCCGAGAAAGTTTGCAAATACATACGTTAGCGGTGACTCCTAAAGTTGGCAGTTGCCTTAGATAACCAAAGTATATGCAGTTGCATAACCGCAGTTATTTGCACGATTCGCAGTATTCGCACTATTCAAAGTATTTCCTGTAATTGAAATCTAGAGCATTTGTGATACTGTGGCCATGGTGCGTGCCATGAAGTAGTTCTTGTTGGAGAAGTGGTTCTGGATTCAGAATTTTCAATTAAAAGACAAATTCCTGACTTCTGGACAACTTTCTCTTTCATTTCCAAACAAATTTAAGCACTTTGGTGTTCCATGTCTGAGTTTGCAAATGACCTGAAATAAATACTGTGATAATACAATCAGCTTTTTTAATGGTATTCTGACTTAGAAAAGTGTACAATGATGTGACAATGCTTGCAGTTTCTCTGCAGGTGATTATCACAGAAACATATGGCTATGATAGGCAGCCAGAAGATTGTAGATTCTTGAATTTTTTGCCAGATTTCAGATTTCCCTGCACATCTGTTCAAGTGTTTAGCAGAAGTATTTAGGAAAAGCCTACTTTGCTTTAATCCCAAGTCAGCCTTCAGCATGGACAATGTAAGTTAATGCCTTGATAGTCTTAATTACATTGTAAAATCTTCAAAGTGAGTACATCTGTGTTGTCCCTTTTAAGAAAGGGTCTTTAATTGAGCAGCAACAAAAATGCAGCTGAATAGCAACTGAATAGCTTCAGGTGTTTTTAAGATGCTCAACTACTTGTATCTTTAGTTCTAATTTTTGTGTTATTTCATGTGAAGTGTTCTCAGTGAATGATGTAGCCATTGATCAAGTTACCAGCAGGAAATGGGAAGTAGGAGAAGCAGCACTGCTGCTTGCTTCTGTTCAGCTACAGGGCTGCTAATGACAATGTTGTGGTGGGTTTTTGTTCTTAGTAATGCTCACAGACACAGAATAGCTGAAGGTAGTGGTGCATTTTAATCCTTCACAAATTTACCAAGTTTCATTTAATAGGATGCTTATGAGTATCATTCGAAGACAAGAGAATTGGAAAATCTTGAGGAAGGGACCATTGCTGTCAGTGAAGAGTTCTGGGAAAGAGAAGTACCAGACGCAAAGCCTGGCCCAAGTGTCTGGCATTTGCTAAGAGGTTATAAACCAATCACACCTGATACAAAAATTGTTTGGTGATAATAAAATTGGTAGAATTTTACAATACTGTTTTTAAACAGGCTTAGCAGGACTTCACTTTAATTTGCAACAATGAGCTTCCAGATTTAAATTGCATGTTAATGCTGTGGTTTATTTGCAGTCTATAGGAGACAGCAATGTTTTATTGATGATTGCAAATGCTTTATAGTAGTTGTTTGGTCAGCTTCAGGAAGAACTGGTTTAAATTTGGCTAGGGGACAGAAATCTTCCTAAGTGGTACCTAAAGAAAAGGAAAATTACACTTGCGGTGTGATCATTTCTAAATAGAAATATAATGAGAAACATAATATACAAAATTATATTTTAGATACTAAATTGAATGTTACAAAAATTTATTATGAGACATGTTAAAGCTGATACTAACAGTTGTCTTATCTGTTGTATTTAGCCATAGGCAAACAAGTAGGAACAAACTTTATAATCTGAATGGCTAAAGAGTTGTGAGGTCGTTTAAAAGAAATGAGCAAGTTGCATTGTGTGGGAGAACTAACTTGGAAAAATTCGGGTGAGTCTTGGAAGAAAACTGAGAGAAACAATAGAAGAAAATAATGTAAGGGAACTTGCACCAGAACAAAAAGCGTTGCTCTCAGGAAATTGTTGGCTGAATGGCAAGACTTGCTTGAAATTCAGGGGAAAGATGGGCATGTCCTGTATGACTGTGCCTAGAAGCAAACTCAGGAAAACAGTTTTGACATGAATGGCTAAAGAGAACAGAAAACTTTGAACGAAATTACGTACAGGTGGTGTTCTAATGTAATGCCTATTTCTCTGGAAGGCTTATGGTTGTCCAAAAGGGCACCCAATTATATTGCAAGTGGAAGAGTAAGTAATGCAAAAAACTTCCCTATATTGGCAACAAATTCATCTCACTAATAGGGTTTCTGGAAGTATGTGGTGACCCTCCAACTTCTTTACAGAATGATTGCTTGTCACTTTTAAATGTATTGTTTGGATTATTGGTGCAACAATAGCTGACTGGGATTCTGTCATGCAGGAGATAATATTTTATTGGAATAATTCCTTTAATCATAAAGTCTGCAGGCAGCTTATTTTCTTACCTGAGCATCTGCTTGAGAGGCTCTGAATTTGGTAAAAACTGGCATGTAAGAATCTAGCCCTGTCTTGGGGATGAATGACACATCTGTGCACTTAAAAATTGATTTTTGCATAGCATGCCAAATCTGAAAGCCTTTGTCCAGTTAGGGATGCTGGTAGTTTGTAGATGGGGAAGTGTGTAGTACCCAGCTGTAACCTGCAGAACAAACAGAGGGACTGTTCTGTGTTGGTTCTGCATCACATATGTAAGCGAAGACTGTGAGAGAGAGAGGTTACCAGCGTTTGACAGCCTTCTGTCTGGAGTCCACCCTTTCCCAAATGCGTTGAGTGCATTTCTGTGCTACCGTGTTGAAAAAGCTTTTTGTCCTCATTCAGATAATTGTTTAATGCAGCTGTATTAATGACACTGAAGGTTGAGTTTAGCAAGAACTGAGTAGCTGCTACGTGATTAATAGGGGTGGGTTCTTGGAGGTTAATAAAGCAGTGACCGTGCTTTTTCCACAGAAAAAGACATTTCTCTTCCCCTTTTGACAACCTGCTTGGTAAATTTAAAAAAAAAAAAAAGAAAAAGCATTTAAGCTATTCCACATGTTTAAATGTCAGTCCTTCCATCTGAATTGCAAATATTTTAGTGAAAGAAAACGCTGAGCCTGCTCTTGAATTCATTCAGTAAATAGCACTCTTTCAGGACGAGAGAATTACAGTGGGACTTCACTAACCCACGTGCTCCTCTATGCTGGAGTTGAACAGGGAAGTTGTAGGAGGGTCTCTGCCATGTTAAAGTTCTGCTTCCACAAAATACTCAAGAATTTGCCCTAACAACATGATGGGATATCAGAAATAAAATGACATTAAGCCTTTTAAAATAAGTGACAAAAGTACACTTTATAGAACAGCTTCGTTATGTATCCACATACTTGCTGATTTAATAACTGAATAACTCTGAGTATATGAATAATTAATTTGGAGTTACTGTAGTCCATCTAGTGGCACTTATAGAACAGCTGTAGAGAACCAGGTGTACACATCAATTTTTGTTTCCCTTGTTGCTGCTCAGAGTTGGCTTGAGGCTGGGGAGAAGAGTTAGCGAAGGACTGCATGCAAGTCGAGGGCCATGAAAAGCTGGTATTTTCGAACGGAAGCTGTCACATAGTCTGTTTATTTTTCTGAACCTCACAACAGCTTTTAAGAGCTGTTTTGGTGGAAATTTTAGGCATACGGAATATGCACTCACAGTAATGTTGTATTAGGACATAAGAAATTAAAAATTGAAATAGACTTGAGAAAAATACTGACTTTACTGTCTGGCCTGGTTGATTTAATTGAATGATGAATTAAATTAGTGGTGTGCAGAAATAAACCAGTGAACAGGAACTGATGGCCAGTGTTCATAAGACTTGTTAATTTTTTTTAAAAATCAGCAGTTTTACTAGCAGGCTAGTTGTTTGTATAATTTTTAACAACTGTATCTGCTCTGTCTACTGTTAATTCTGTATGGTGTAGTGAATTTGATTAACGAGTTGTTTTCTGATTCTAGAGTTACTTTGTTAGAGCTGATGCTGGCGAAAGTAAGTGAGGATAACCCAGTTACCGGAGAAGAAATGAATGTGTTCATAAGACATGCTGAATTCCTTGCAGGCTGTTTCCAAGAGAAGTGTGAAGCTGTGCTCAAGTTAACTTCTGCAGCAGGTGCAGATGAGGTATGACAGATAGAAATCATTATAATGTTAGTAACTGAAGTGGTGAAGCTTCATTGCCACTATTACCCAATTGGCACTTGTGTTCATTCCCAGTTTATAGTGGGAAAGCAGTAGCAGAGTTTACAAGAGAATCTGTAAGACAGCAGCCCAATTTTGCTTTTAATTTTAGGATGACAAAGAATACGGAACTTTGAGATAGAAATAAGTCTACCACATTGTTAAAGATCTCAAAATTTAAAAAATGTTCAGGTTGTAACTTGTTTGGATGTTCTATTATGTTCTTACTAAGGATCACTTCTATAATTTATTTGGGTTGTGAATTATATTTTATTGAAATACAAATCAAAACTTAAAATATGTATTTTATTTATAGGTGGAAAGTAGCATATCTTTTTTTTCCCCCTTGAAATTGTGGATAAAAAATGGAGTAAGTGCTTTTTTCTAGCAGTGGTGGAGTAAATTTTGGTGTTTTGCTTGGATTTGTTGTGGGTTTTTTTGTTTGTTTGTTTCTTAACTTAAATAACTGATGATAACTTGTTAATTATTAATTAGGGCATCATTAAGGTCCCAAATACTAGTTCTTTGCGAATACAGTTGGCTATGAGTAAGGCAGGTGTTCCTGATCAGTTTGGGACCTGGAACATCCAAGTTCTGACCATGGAGAGCTGTGGTGTGTGTGGGATTGGCTCAGTGCAGGGGAGCTGTCTGAAATACATAGTGATGCTCCCTGCAAGCTAGGGCTTTTGTTACTGACTCTTCCCCATTTCCCAGTGATCTGGGGCTCCCTGATGGACCTCGCATGGCTCTGACAAGGCAGCATTCCTGAGGCCAGTGAGCATCCACAGCATCAAGTTGCAGAGCTTACTGGGCTCTTAGTGGCAGACAGCTCCTGTCTTCTGAGCACCCAGGACTTGCCCCAAGACCAGTCCACTTGGAAGAAATCTGTTATTGCTTCAGACTTAATGAACTGGTTCTGTTGAGGATGGCCACAATGAAGTCCCTTTGCAAGCTGAATAGGAAGGCTTTCATGGGTCACAGATGGTTTGTGGGTTGCACTTTGGGAACCTCTGATGCAGAGCTGAGTCCTGGATGGCCTTACTTTGTTTCCTGCTTATGAAGCATCCAAGAGTTGCTGGCTACTTGCCACACCATATAGTGCAGTAGGGAGGCTTAGGCCATCTAAGGTTAGAGGTCTTTTCAAATAATCTGGTATTCTATTTTTCCTCTTACTTTCAACAAGCTGCTTGAAGATCGCCTTTGGGAAGACAGAAAGCAGCTTGCACCAAAACTTGCAGTGACCTTATCTGTGCTATGCTGGGTCATTGTACTGTGAGTGGACAGTGCCTGGTCATATTGGTCTTGGTTCTTGATCCCTCTCATATAGATGAAGTTGTAATGTTTTCAGCTGATTTAGGCATCAGTTCTCATTTTAAGACAACTAGCCGGAAAACTAAAGGCCTGAGAAGTCTGACATAATCAAACTGATTCTCACTGATTAATCATGCTTAGTTTCAGAAGTGTAATTAACATATTTTCTTAATAAGATGTTTAAAAACGTATTTTTAAAAAACCACTCTCATCTACCTTCTGTCTTGCCAAGTCACCAGAGCGGTATGTTGAAGTTATGTTACCCTACATACATGTAGTCAGAATCATTTTATTGCTAAAACAAAATTAACCTGTGGCAGTTTCATTTGTAGAAACACTTGAGAATGGCTGTCATAACTAATTTACTATCAAAGTGAAAAATACTGATCTTTTAATGCCTTCATATTATAATATTACAACATGTTTTACTTGCTGTTTTATTTGTTTGTTTATGTAGACACAAGAATTTTAAATGTATGTTGAGAGGTGTTATGAAAAGAAATGGAAAATCACTTTATCAGGAAGTGATAGCTGAATGCATGGAAAAAAAAAACAAACCAACCACACAGTTATCTCTTCTTATTTGTCCAAGAAGCACAGTTTCCCCCACTGCTCCACCACCCTCAACTGCTTAGTCTAAGTTATGTTAGAAAGCTTAACTGACTACTTCTAGAAAAAGGTGTTACCTTGGCAATAAGAGCTTTTTTTTTTCTTTTTTCCTCCTTCTCTCTCTGTCACTCTCTCTCCTCCTCCCCTACCTTTTTTTTTTTTAATCCTGTGTGGTTACTTTCCAAGTATTCAGTGGTTTCAGTTCTTGGAAAAAACATTTGTTTGTGCCTAGCAGAAGGAAGTCTCTGTCCAACTTGAAGGTGCTGGGACAGCAATATTGAGAATATGAATGTATAACTTACCCTGCTTGACACTGACTTCTTATTCTTCTCTCACATAAACATGTTGTATGATAAGTTGAATACCACTATTTGATGGGAGATGTGGATCTCTTAATCAGCATAAAATAGAAGTCATAATAGCTGAATAAATGGAGAGCAATGACAAGAATAGGTTTTTCTAGAAGTATGTGTTTGTGCATATGTGTGTATACATTTATTCATAACATATGCTTGCCATGGGAGAAGAGAAATTCCAGTTTAAATTTATAAAAGTGTTTCTTTTCTTACTAGAAATTATTAAAAATTGTAGCAATTTCTCCTTGAGTATATAAATATTTTTGGTTTTTGCATAAGAGTTGTATTTAACTGAAAAAAATGCAATTGTGCACAGAGAGGCTATCATTAAAAGTAGGCAACATCTGTGATATTAAACTAAACTCTGCCTGGACTTTTCTGTGGCCCTGAAGCCAAGTGCCTTGGTCAGGCTATGTCTGTACTAGCAAGCTGCCTTAGCCTCCAAAACTGGGAGGCCACATTTGAAAACTGTTTTTTGGGAACAGTCCTTGAACTGGCCTGACTTCCAAAATGTTGTCTGGGTGTCCCAATCACTGTTTAATTTATTATATGTAGATATTGCTTTTTTCCCTAAGGAACCTCAGATCTTGTAGCTTCCATCTCAAACCAATGAGAAGCTAATCATATGCTTCTGCAGTGCTTAAACCAATGTTTAAAATAGCTTTTCCATTATAAGCCTGACTTCAACATCAGTTTGCTTTCACTAACTAGCAACCATATTTGCAAAGTAAAGCCTTTCTCTGGATTTTAAGTTCTTATTTCATCTCTTTATAAGGAACATCTTTTCTCAGTCTCCCACAAGATATATTTATTTAAAACCTCTTCAATTATTTCCTTATTTACTTTTCAGATTATGTCCACATCAAGATGGCTGTCAGATTTCAAAGTAGTTTGGTGTTTCAACAGCATTTTGTTGCTGAACTTAAAAAAGAAGTATTCTGCTTTAGTGCCTTTCATTGGCATTGGTGCAGGTGGAGGGAGAAAAAAAAATTGGAAAGTGTAAAGATGAAAGCAAGGGAAGGAAACAACCAGAGATATTTAAACAATATTTTGAAAGTATCAAATTTAAAATGTAGATAGGAATTACTTTTGTGTTTTTAAAATAATATCTTCCTGTCTTCAAATCAAGATAGAACAGTTGCTGAACTGAGATGGTAGGATAAGAGAAAGGAAGTGATGGGCAATATAAAACCCTGGAAAAAATATGTGGAAGACAGCAAAGAAAGGCATTTTTTTTAAAAAAGAGGAGTATCTGAGAAAGGAAAAGCCACAACTCATAGTATCTGTTGCTACAGAGTTTGTGTTATGTATGTGGACAATGGGGTACACAGAGGCAGCACGGGCCTTACAGGTGTGATTTATAGTTGCCTATTGTTACTTGTTTGCTTTACAGTTGTAAAGAGTATAACCTTTTCTTGTGCAAAGGTAAGTGTTAAGGGTATGAGCTGAAGAGGCTTTTGCTTAAGCTACTGTCCTGTAACAAAGCAAAATGGCTTAAAAATGTAAATACCTGCTTACTGTCTGTTAAATACTGTAGCAGTATTCTTTATAACAGGACAATGACCAATGCATTTGGAGGCTGGTTTTATGCTGTTGAGAGCAATCTATTGAATAACTTATGGCAAGACCTGCACCTTCCTACACCTGTGTGTGGAAAAAGATGAAAATAGAGCTTTAGGACCTGGACCCTGTACCAATTTGTTGTCTTCAGGGAGCAGAGGAAGAAGCAAAGAATGGATATAATCGTAGTACCTAATTACTGAACGCTACTGTTGATTATTTCAATTATGTTATATTGATTATATGGATTAAAAAATGTAATGTTTGTAAGTAAATGTCTCTTTGTCCTGGACAGGCAGGAATAGTTACTATGACCTATGTCTGAGCCTCCTCAGAGTTACTTGCAGTTTACGTACCATACCTTGTGTGGAATCCTCTTCCAGTCACAGTCTGGTTCTTGAGCAATATTTGGTGTTCCAAATTATGCCATATGCTCTTAAGGTAGTTTCTGTAAGCGCTGGAATGTCATTATAAGCACACATCAGCATGGTCTGTGAGAAAATATCGTTCTCTGGCTGAATAAATAATATGCAAATGAAATTGTGTGTCTCATACTTAACCAGAATGCTGCATCTATGATCCCAATCCTATTTACCCAAGAATAATGTAAATTCTCACAGCCAAAGTTCATTTGACCACAGAACTTTACAGAATTCCTGCGGATAACAAATTGGTGTCTTTCAGGCGGTGTTTGTGTCTTTAAAGTGGGACGCTCCTACTGAATAAACTCAAAGAAAACATTTATACAGAAATAATTTTCTCAGCTAGTAATTTTCTGCATTTCTGCTTTTGGAAGCTACTGTGTTTTTGTTAAAATTTTATCCCTATGGCTCTGTTTTGGTTTCCCCATGATTTTTTCAGGGCACATATAACACTGTTGGACTGTAGAAAAGAAATTATTGCAGTGTAATAAATTATTGTTATTGTAGAAAGATTTTCTCATTTTATGTAGATTTATTCTTGGCAGTTTAGAAGATCTGCAAAGAACCTCAGGTGCCAAGAGTTCCTGTCCTCTGTTTAGATCATCAGTTTTATGTACTTATGGTATCCTTCCTGAGCCATTTTCATAAATGTCATTTTCATTTACAGGAAGCACTGGTTACAATTCGTCTTCTTGATGTTCTTTGTGAAATGACATCAAACAGCAAACAGCTGGAACATCTACAGGTTTTGCCTGGTTTGCTTGATACAGCCATAGGTGAGTGAAAAGCCGCAAGGTTTATTAACTTTTGGCTTGCTCCAAATCACGTTGCTCTGTAAATGAAAACATGTTTTTCACAGGTGGTGGTAATTATGATTCTGACCTTCTAATAAAATAAACAAATAGGAGATTGAGTTAATCTACATTTCCAAATATTTGATTTGTTCCTGGAATTTTTCTGCTTCTCTACTTGCTCTGTTGGCTCTTACTACCCAACAGAGCCTTGATTCAATGTCAGCAATGCGCTATTTATACAGTAAGAGTTGTGCAAAGGACAGCTGCTCCCTATGCTCTTCCACTGGCTGAATGTGTGTGGAAGACTTTCTTCAAGAAGTAGAAAAAGGACTTTTCCATGTCGGTTTTCCTCTGTTTCCCAGATTCTTGAAAGCTGAAACTAAGTACAGTTTGAATGTTCTTAACCAAATCCAGTGACTTTTAAAGGTCAGCTTGAAAGAAGCTTTCTTCTGCTAAGAAACAACAAGCGAAGGGCTGTACACAAAGAAAAGAAATACTCTATGAGAAAGGAGGAGGAAGTCTACATACGCTGACCTGTGTCTTCCTAAATCTTAGCACTTTCTGAAACTGATATATACCACCATTTTCTGAAAAAAATTGTGAAAGTTTCTGGATTTTAAAGAGAAATATGAAATATTTTGACTAAAATAAAAGGCTGAAACAGCCTATTTTGAGATGTTAGGAGACCCCTTGCTGTAAAAAAAAAAAAGGCAAAAAATAACCAAATCTCTATGTTTGATGACAGATTCATACTTTTTTTTCCTTTCAGTAAGATGACTAACAACAAGATCTGTTTTGTGTGTGTGTTTTGAGGAAACTCAAAGTTAGGCATTGTATCATCTGAATGCTTGTATAAATCTTTCAACTTAAATGAGAGTTCTAAGGAGCCGCAGATCAATTAAGTTTAGAAGCCTATAGGCCAGTCCTCCTTTCTGTAGCTGTGCCCAGACTGAGTGTTCTCCACAGCTATCTCCACACTAAAGAAACGGGTACAGGCTAGAACATTGCTACCATGTGCATCCTACGTATTTCCCACGTACCCCCAGCCAACAGGAATTTATCAACTTGTGTAGTTTCTTTTTAAGACTACCTTTTGGCTACAAGACTCGTTTAATCCTAGATTAGCAAAAAAGATAAAAGGCTGTATTGATGTTTTGTGTCACCTTCAGTATTTAGTTCTGGATAGATAATGCAAAAGATTTTCATCTCTTGATAAAGCAGTTCTCTTCAGTTTATATGACAAGAAATTTCCTATTGGAATTTACTAGAGCATTGATTGAAAGATCTGAAAAATATCTGAATGATCTTTTACGTATCAAGTAAGGAGTGTGTTTTGGTATTTTCAGTAATTGTTGGATTAAGTTGTACAGTAATACTGCAGTGTTAATAATACCTTTAGCACTGTTAACAGCTTGATTGCATGCTGTTTGGAGAATATTGCCAAGGAGGTAAAAAGGTCTTTTGGATTGAGGGGCATTTTGGAAAAATTTCTCTTTGGGTTAATGAGAGAATGGCAAACTGAGGTGTCCTCTAGTTGAGAGCATCAGTGACATGGCAGGAGCAGCTGAAGTGCCATGTTTGAGAGGAGCACAGCTCGCTCTGGGTTTGCATCATGCATAGAAGGTAACTGCTTTTCTTCCAACTTTTTCTATACTTCTCTTTCCAGGTAGGTGCATTGCTCATTGCATTTTTGTCTGCACTGTAGTGTTTTATCTACTTATCCTGATTATTTTTTCCTAGTTGCAAATATAAACAAATGCAAGTGATAACTGACATACAGGAGGCCTCTAGGCCCTATTATAATTTCATGTTTTTAAAACTACTGAAAATGTAGTTACCTCTTTATCAGCACCGAGATTTTTTTGCTTGTCCTGTATCAGCCATCTGGGAGTGAAACTATAATATGAGGACCTGTGAAGTTTCTTCTAATTTAAATCCAGGAAATCTCAGGCCCATTCTGCTGTGGATGTTGTCACATCTGGAGCAGAGGGAGCATAGGGCTTAATTCCCACGCTGTGCTATAACCTGGTTTTGCTATGTCTTTATTTGTCCAGTGTAAGTTGCATGAAGCATCTTTCGGCCAATGGCATGCCAGGCCATTTATTAGTATTGCAGGTTGCTTAGGGGAGAAATACTTCTTAATTTTTAAATATAGGCACAGCTTTTAGTGAATTGGCTTCTCAGCTGTACGAGCTTTCAGGTGTTCACATGATTTCAGCTTTTCTTCTGGGTGAGGTCTCTTTGTGAAATGTTGTTTTCACAGATTTTAGTTTTCCTTCTCCCAGATTTCTCCCTGGAGCATTATATAAAAAAATCCTAGTTGCTGTAAACTTGCATTTACCATACAGGAACATTAGTATTTCTCAGTTGACAAGATTATGACACTTGAAGGATTTGTAAATATGTGTCTAGATGCTAGATGTACTCAAAATCTTTTCTCATACTACAGAGCTAGGAACAGACTGGAGAAGAGAGGAAAAGGTGATTCTGGGGATAGTATGTGTTGCTGTGACAAGTTTGAACTAAAGGAAGTTTTCTAAAAACCTTATTTTTAGGAAAAAACCCCACAACCAACACCCTTGTATTTAGAAATATATTTACCGTGCCAGAATCATCAACAGCCTACAAATAGTATCAGCCTTCAGACACTATAGAAGTGTGTAAGAAGGATGCAAATATACCTTCTGATGGCCTTGTATGGTTATACTAGCACAAATTAGGAAATAAAAATTAAGAAAACTTTCAAGGTTCTTTTCACATATTGCTGAATATCTGAAATTATGTTGATTAACTTTGAACGTAACAATTAATAGTGAACCTCTGTGCAGAGTGATAATGATTTTCATGTGGTAATTAATTAAAATATTTTTGTTTTCTGTAGATACCCTGAGATTAACTCATCATGCTGGACAACAGGCTGTAAATATTTTCACTGCCACACGTGCTATGACGGGGGAGGAAGAAATTTCACATCCAGCTGTGAATTTTAAATCTCATCTCATTCGTTTGATTGGAAATTTGTGTTACAAAAATAAAGAAAACCAAAACAAGGTAGGTTTATACATTTTTCTGGCAGAACTGACATGTGAACAGATGTGTATGCCCGACCATGAATTTACTGATGAAAACATATTGTAATCTACAAACAGAGGTTAGAATTGGACTTGTAAAGGGAGTAGATTTCTTTTAATGTCTTTGAGTTAATATAACAAGTACGCTAACTTTTCAATAAAAATGTGGTGTGTGCCTGTCTATCTTTTGCTGCAGTCCTATAGACCTACATGCTAGTGCCTAATTCCTTGATTATTTTCACATCTGCACTTTTTGAAAAGAAAATGTCTGAGACTAAACCTCAACTTCACTTTAAAGGGAAATGGATGGCAATTGTTGCATGAACTTAATTTTTAATCTTTGAATTAGTCTCTAATGATTTTTCCCCTCTCCTAGCTCTTAAATTTTCTTGTGCCACTTAAAAAATTGTAGGTCTGCTTCCACCAAATCATGTTGAACTTTGTTTAGAATTCCCATATGGAAGATTAGTTTTGTTCCCACAATGAGGAAAAAGAGGGAAGAGCACCATGTTTTTAACTGTGAAACCTTTTTTCTTAGTGTGATAAAAGATGTGGCTTTCCTCCAAGGCTTGTTAGGCTAACATAATTTCAGCAAGAAAAGCAGTCATGAAATAATGTTGTTTTTACAGTTCGTCTGAGCGCTTCCAAAAATCAAGTAGGTTACATTTCTCCTTTGGCCTAAGCAACCACATATGGTATTACAGCAGCATCAGCTTCATGAAAGCTTTCTGTTTCTCAGGTTCTTCCTTGTGAGTTTCTTACTGTAGAGATCCCTCTTGTCATTCCCCTATCTTCCTTTTCTCTTACAAATGGCTTTCCTCGTGGCAGCCTTGTCCTGGAAGGAAATGCTCTTCAATAGCCTTTGTTACTGATATTTAATTACTTTGAACAGGGAAATTTGGGATTGTTTTCCTTTTGTTGTTTTATTGATTTGAATCAAAGATTTCACCTGCTCTCAAGGAAGCAATTTTTAAGCAAGAAAACAGAAAGCACAGAAGACTAGACTGAAGAAGGAGTAAATGATTTAATGGAGTATTTTTACTTTTCTCTTACAGTACTCAATGTCAGCAAGTACCAAAAATGCAGTAATTAATACTGTTTACTCTGCAGGAAGTTAAATATGATGAGCTATCAAGACATTGAGTAATGAAAAATCAAACTCTGTTAGAAGCTTCTGTTTACTAAATACTGGTTTTGTGATTATTTTATTTTGGAGTTGGATGCTATGGTCCTTATGTGTCCCTTCCCCCTACCCTACCCAACTGCAATTCTGTTATTTTTTACTAATGCCGTCAGATCTTGTTTCAGCTGCTGCAGTGTTTATCAAGTTAGACTTTTATAATGGCAGCAAGGCATTTTCATAGTATAGGAGGGGAGCTCTCCATTTTGCTGCTGTGGGTTTTTTTTTTTTGTCTAGAGGGTAAAGAAATGGAAAATCTGAGGAATGCTACCTTCTTTGTCTAACAAATGCTAATACTATGGTCATACAGATGGGAAATACAGTAGTGATGCTCCCTTTCCCTATTCATATTATGGTATATAGCAAAGGATTTTAATATTTCTGAAAAATATTATTAATCCTATTAATCACTCTTGTATTGCTCTGTCTCTGACAATTTATGATGTAATATGTGTTTATGTAAGTGAAATACATTTTTTTGGAATACCTTATGATGATAGAGGTGAGGGGGTTGCTTTCATTTTGAAAAAGCTGATTTACTGCTTATTGTTCATTTTCACAGGGATTTTCAAAGGCCCCTAGAGCAATTAGGCATGCTGGCTTAGTGTTTTCAATGGAAATTGGGTATTAACTTGCGTTAACTGCCTGCATGTATCATTGCTTTATGCTGTCTTGAAAATGACTTAGAATCTTGTGTGTGGTATCAATGAACATTATTTGAGTTCTGTTGAAACTTTAGAAATGCTAATATTATGATATCCTGTCTGTAGCTTCAGTTTATTTCATACATTTAAATTAGTTCTAATAAATGCACTTGTCATTTTTAAGGCAGTTTCCGTTCATAAACACATGCTTGTGAGGACAGGGCAAGCAGCCGATATAATTGCTCAGATAAGAAAACTGAAGTTTTGAAATGGGAGTGATTTGTTCAAAGTGGTGCATGTGTCAGACCTAGAACTTAAGAAAAATGGGTTTAGTTCCTGGGTTCCCTCTTCTCTCTTATGATCTATATTGTGAGATACTACTCTGATTTTATATCCATTATTTGGTTTACTTTCTATATTCAATAGTAAGTAACGTAATCCAGGGGAGATTGTTTGTTTTTTTATATATATACACACATATATATATCAAGCCAACTTGACCAATGCATCTGAGAAACCTTGGGCTTTACCACTGAGTGTTGCTTTTAGGTGACTTACTGTGTGAACTGTAGGCACAAGCTGGGGAAATGGCTTTCTCGTCAGTTTAGCTGGTTGCCTGGCGTAAGAGGGCTACACATCACTTTCCAAAGGCTGTCAAACAGCACTGTTAGTATTCTTATTCCTTGATGAACTGAGGCTTCCATGCTTATTTTCTCTAATTTGTCTGTAATTTCCAGTCTTAGTCGAGCTCTCTTCCTAGTAGAAATTACAATGCATTAGTAAATGGAGTAATAGCACACCACAAATAATAAATAATTAAAGATATAGCCCCTATTTTTATAATATAACCTTAATGCTTGGTGTTGGTCTGCTTGACTTGTTCTGAAAACATGAATAGTCCCCAAAGACTTGAGGCTCAAGTGCTGGCTTGGGCTAAGCCCTCCAAGTGGACAGAGTTGCATCAGTGTCTTCAGGAGCTTCCTCAAGAGGTGAGTGACAACCTGCTTGTTCTCTGGGAGGTGCGTGTTTCCGAGTATCCTGGTGCAGTCCTACTGTGTGGGGTGCTGGTGACAGAGTTAAAGCAATAGAGAGTGCCTGGCGTGGGAGGGTAATTGCTCTGCAAAGGCTGCTTCTCCATCTCTGTTTATGGTCTCCACCAGCTATAGAAGTATAGCAGGGAATTAGTGCTTTTAAAAAGCATTCTTTAGCTTGTACTCTGTTAGCATTAGGAATGCATTCTTTACATCTTTTCTTCTCCATAGTTTTATTTACACTATTATGATAAGTTCTTAAGATATAAGTGAGTGGGCAGACATTTAATCTGTAAACTGAGATGCAGTTATTAAAAGGGGTCTGGCCAGTCTTACTGCCCACTTGCATGTTTTGTGAGGCTAGATGTGTGGTATTTTTAAGTAAAGTGTCTGATAAAATGTTCATTTTGGACTGATAAATATTGGGTACGTGCATGTCCTGAGTCGCACACACTCTTACATGAGGAGGAGGGAAGAACAAATAAAAGTGCTGTACTTAGGACAGCAAGTGTTGAGCTAGTTCTGTGTTGAACCTGCCAAGAGCCTGAAATGGCCATGGAGTTCTCCTGTGGTTTCTCTCTTTCTGCAAGAAGAAGAGCTGCCAGGAGTTACTGTCATATATGTAGGGATGTCCTGTGGCTTCTATTTTGATTCTTAGACCTCCTTTACAAAGATGCGTTGCATGTTTCTATTAAATATACTGTCAGGAAGGAGGTGGGTTCTCAGGCTGAGCAAGGACTGGATATTTTGGCTGGTAGTTGATGCGTGAACTTGTAAGAAGGAAAAAGTAAACATTCAATGATACTCTCCTCACCTTGTTTGTCTTGCCTTCTGAACACCTCAGTTTTATGCCCCAGACAGGATTTACACTGTTTTCTTGGCAGAAGGCTTTAGGCACTTATTTTCTACTCTCACTTTTAGAGCTATGAAGTAATGAATTCAGCCCAGCTCTTTCTACTGGTTTAGTGTAGTAGGACCATTTTCATAAGGAATAAACCTTATGAAAGAAACCTTATTAATTAAGTGTAAAGAATATAATCCTTTATTGTAGAAATGAAACAAATACATAATAGGTCATAGCAATTAATTTGCACACCTATTTGTTGATTTACAAGAATATTTATGTAAGGTGAGACCAATCTCTGCCTTACTGTGACAGATAGCACTGCCCTGCACAATATTATTACCTTTCCCTAAAACTACTGTTTACGTTGTGAGGTGTTCATGCAATATGACTTGTTTAAAATACTTTCATTCATTTAATTGCAAGTGTCATCAGTATTTGAATAAGTAATAGAATAATGTAGACCTTACTCTACATTCTTTTCCTTCCTCTCCTGTTAGAGGAGTTCCATAGACTTCAATCACATAACCTTGCTGGAGTTAGTAAATAGGGAATAGAAAGTAGAAAGCCTGACAGAGTTTAATTGTAGTTTTTATTTGCTATTCACTTTAGTTCACTATTACCTCTGAGATCAAATGAGGGAATCTGAGTCACCTGGGGGTTCTGTCCTGTGAAAACCATTCCTGAAGGATGTGGCATTGTCTGGAACAAGCTAGATGTGAGACAGGAGGAGCAGCCAGCTGACCAAATGTCAGCATGCTGAGATTATGTTGTACTGTTGCCTTTTGAGAGGGCTCCTGAAGGGAAAAATTGTGACGTCTCTGAATGCAAAGTTAAACCTGACTTAGTAAGAACAAAGCACTTAGCTTGAGTTTAGGGTGTAATCTAGTTGTGTTGGCCTTGCCATCATCACCTGACTCTTGTTACTGATAGCATATATAGTTTTTTGCTACCTGCTTACTTTGTCTAGCAATACAGTTAGTATGCTGGGGCAGTTTGATACATGCTGAGAGATCTCTATCCCTCCAGAATAGTGAATACACACAAGTATTTTTGAGATGTCTCTTTTTCTTAATCAGCCTGTTAAAAAGCAACTGATCCCCTCAGGTGAAGAAAGCAATCCATACTCTTATGCCAAGGACATTTCAGATTCCAGGGATGCTGGTGGGCCCAGTGATAGGACATTAATCTTGGAATGTGTGTTTCACTGATAAAGTTGTTCTGGTATTTATGTAGGGGAAAAAAAATTAAATACATAGTTGTCTTTGGTACTGGCACCTG